GTTGTCATTGGCATCAAGGCTGAAGGAAGGAGACTGACCTGCAATGGTATAGAGAGCTGTCACCACCAGCATCAGCACCGTGGACAGATAAAGATTCCATCCCAGGCAGACCTGGACAAACAGCGCACCTGAGTAGAGGTCTGTCTGCAGGGGAGGAAGGAACTTAGAGTCACGGGACAGTAAGGCTCTGTCACAAGGCACAAGGTCAGCCAGACTCCAGAATTAAAATGATCTGATCTACAGTGCTAGGATTCCTCCTTATAGGACTCGGGTGAGCAAATCATGTGTAGAGCACTGCAGAGTAGTTGTACACCCTTTTGATTTGGCAAAAGATAGCAATAACCCAGTCGTTCTAAATGCAAGGTCACTGAGACATGCAGCTCTCCTGTATTGAGTGTGTTTGTGCATGTAAATGATCACAGCATATAGCACAAGGATTTAATTGTATGTCAGCTACAAAAATGCATTTTCTTGACAAGATTGCATTAATCTATCAATGTTCCACACAGTGTACTTTCAGAAACGGTAAACAGCAATCCTCTTGATTATAATTTACATCCTGTAGTGTGAGAAGCTTAAACATTTGGATATGAAAATTATAAGATTATAAACAGTGCTGAAAGACAGCCTGCCAAGATTATCACTGTCTTATAAATGGGATGCCAACCAAAAAGAAAGGTAAGACTAAACTCTTGACCCGAAATGTGAGCACACTGGTTCCAATGAGATGATGCTGTGTGCACATCAGCAAAATAGCTTTTAAGAAGCAGTGTGGATGTGTGCGATGCACAAGTAGCTTTCCCAGAAAATCACAGGGAGATTCCTTATGCTCCTCAACCTGTACCTCAGTCTGTCTCAGAAGACGGAAAGTTACAGAGAAATATTTTGGACTGCAGTTCCTTGATTCTAATGGAGAACAGGAAGATCTTAGTTTAAACATGCCTGGTGGAATGCAAATATGGGTAATGCCGACATATAAAGCAATTAAACCCTCAGATTTCCCTTACACCTTCTTGTGGCATCCTGAAAGTCCACTCCGCTGGTAGTTCTGCCTCCTGCATTTTGTCTCATAAGAAAGGGATGCTCGTAAAAATAAATAATTTGTTACTAAGTTACAGAACTGGAACTCCCAGTTCACACAGTCTTGTTCAAGGCGAACTGAACAACTGCCGTCTGACAGGAGTTTGTGTGAGAGCTGCAAAGAAACAGGGTGACAATCTTGTAGTGAGAGGTCCATCCCCCTCACATTCAGCCTCAAACCACAGTTTCCACACAGAACCACTGCAGAGCCTGGAAATAACTATTCGACGTACGGCACACCTACTTCATTACAGCAGTTTTACCCTTACTGTCAAACCGGCTACAGAAAGGCCATGCCTGTATACAACACTAACGCAATGTTTGTAACTGAATCTCCTAACCCGCGACTGATGAGAAAGAGGAAGTTCCCGAAGCCAAGAAACCAGCCATGTGACTGAA